CCAACCCCTGATGGCTACTTCCAGCAGGATAATGTACCATGTCACAAAGCTCAAATCATTTCAAATTGGTTTCTTGAACATGACAATGAGTTCACTGTACTAAAATGGCCCCCACAGTCACCAGATCTCAACAAAGTAGAGCATGTTTGGGATGTGGTGGAACAGGAGCTTTGTGCCCTGGATGTGCATCCCACAAATCTCCATCAACCAAAAGATGCTATCCTATCAATATGGCCAACATTTCTAAAGAATGCTTTCAGAACCTTGTTGAATCAATGCCACATATAATTAAGGCAGTTTGAAGGTGAAAGGGGGTTAAACACAGTATTAGTACGGTGTTCCTAATGATCCTTTAGGTGAGTGTAGCCTATATAAAAAATGACGGAAATCATAATATTACATTTCTTTTCTATGCAAATGGATGAGGGCCGACAAGGGGTGTGTTTTGTGTGCATGCATGTGAGTGTTAATGGGCTATATGCATGCATAAGTTCCGCATTTGACGCAAGGATGCTCGTCAGTTTCCGGTTGGGGAGATTAAAGCGGAGGAAAACGGGATTATGGCAGTCTTCAAAATTTACTGTCAAAAATAATATTTGAAACGAAACTTTCATAAGTTTAGATGTAATTTTATATATAGTTATGTTTATTTAATATAATTTTAAAAAGAAGCATAAACACAACGAGGGGTGTCTGTTTTGTCTGTTTTTGTGACTAACGTTTCTTTAGTATAAACATGGAGTATAAAATTCAATATAAATTCTTGGTATTGCATTGGACTCGGCGGAAGTTATTGAGCATCCTTAAACCTTCACCGGAAATACCGCCATGCATAGAGCCCATTAGTTTGGTCTACTCCATTGCGTATCTTGAAACACCCCCTCTTTCACGCCTGGAAACACACCAAGCCAACGACGATGAACTAGCGCAGATGACAGCTTGTGTTGTCACCTGTGTCGCAGGAAAAAAAGCTGCACTTGTACACACCGAGCGAACTACAGGCAACTATCAGCAATGTGCGTTCTGCACCTGCGTGTAAATGAGACAACTGTCTATTTCTCCAGATATATTCATCTTTATTCGTCATTCAAAAAGAGAAACTGATGCTACAGGCTGCAGATACACAAACTGTAAACAAAGCAGTGCATGCTTACCGTTTGAATATCAATCCTGTTAAACACTTTCTTTATTCTACTCCACTCATGTTAATATTGAAATATTCGCCAAGGAACACTCAGGTAAGATAACATTAGAACAGCCTTATATGCGCTGTTTTCACTTCTTTGCTAGCTGTTTTGCTAATATTATCCCGCTGACTCATTCACTAAGCTGAACAGCCAATGAGAGTTCCCTCTTTCACTGACATGTCAAATCGGCCAAAAAAAGCCGACGTGGACCAATTTCAGCCGACGGTGCGGCACACACTGAGAAGTCGGCCAACACACAAAAATTAGCCCACAATTAGCCACAGTCAGCTTGGTGTGTTTAATTTACAGAGATGGAGAGATTGATCCTTTACATTGATGGCTCTATCTCCCCCAGACTAGCTGATATAATGTCTCACTTTAATGTCTCACTCAACAGATATCACTTCCGGCGCTTGCGCAGACCAAAGCGTCCACTCCCTCAGATCACTTGGACGTGGCTGTGGTTACATGAGGTAAAAACAATTTAAATACTGTTAATTTTCTCACACAAACCACTCGTGTCTAAGGCCATCAATGTGTACTTACATTTACCAGTCATTTTTATGCTGCGTTCATGTGCTATGGTAATTATGGTAAATACCAAAAGCAGACGTGGAAAATGCACATGAACACCCCCTCATGTGGTATTTACTACTGGGCAACTCGTAGAATATTTTGATGGACGAGTTGCCGAGATGAGATAACCTTTGACCATTTCAAAATGGCGGAGACCACCTTGAGAGTCGTGAATGGTAAAAAATATAAATACTATTCATGATCTAGAAAATATACAGCATATTATTTACCTTTTGAGTTTTGATAAATCATTTTCTTGCTGTAGCAGATGACTTAAGCAATCTAAAATAGATTAAGCTAAATAACAGGTCTGGATCTCCATCTTTTTACAACATTACAACAACAAAAGCACTTGAACGCAACACGCTGGTAAATACCAGTTCACAAGTGGAAAATATCCTATTTTCCATAGCATGTGAACGCAGCATTAATCATGTTTAATTTGGACTTCTCTGTGCATGCTCTTTGAGGTGAACCTCACATTAGCCTATATGACAGACAAGAACGGTTTGACCTAAAAATATCAAAATTGAAAATACTGTGGAAACAAAGAGACCTACATCTTGGATGCCCTTGAGGTAAGCTAAAACATAACAAAAATTCATTTCAAAGTGAACTATCCCTTTAATAATGTTGTGTGTGTCTTAATGTTCTTCTGTTTGTTTCCCCTTTGGTTTTACAAAATGGCCTAATATATGTTGTGTTACTTAAAAGAAATGTTTAAATAGCATTTATTTTTGTATTGTGTTATATTTTTATGCTATAAATGCTGTTAAAAAATATTCTGAACATTAATGGCCAATGTGTTATGATGTGAGATGTGGTTGGCTGCTGTGGGCCAGAAAGTCCGGGCCACATTTTGGTCCCACTCCGCCCCTGGTACAAAATGTCAAAATGTTGTGGACTTCTTTGGATGGAGAGATGGAGCAACCACGTTTTTATTTTTGTTCCACCACAATGTAGCGAATTAATGAACCGTGACAGATCACTCCAATATAAACATTTAAAGCAAACGCCTTGAAGATAATTTTTTCAGTTTGCAGTTTTTTCAGGCATCTCCTCCCTTGACCTCCAATAAAACAGACCTGCCTTTTTCTACCTGTTGGCGTTATGCCTTGTCAGGGCCGGCCCGAGGCATAAGCGAACTAAGCGGCTGCTTGGGGCCCCCTGGCCACCAGGGGGCCCCCTAACCGAGGTTATTTTTTATTTTTATTTTTTTAGATGACTTAAACAAGTGACATAAATCAATGAATGAATGAATATGACTGAATGAATAGTTCAAGACAACAAAATTCTGATTTAATGGTCAATATACCTGCCTACAAGTTACAACTGCTGCTCTGTCTGCCAGCGTTTAAGTCATACGTATAATCTTCTAGACACCTCGCGCGTGCATAGACAATTCGTGCGCAACTGCGCCTAGTCACGGTATCGGTTTAAGTTGGAGAAAATAGCCCGCAGGGGAACTTATCCTTCAAGGTGTAAGGGTAGCAGTTTGAATAAATAATAAACATAGCAGTTTGAACTCTTCTCCACTTTATTATACCACACATTAGATCTCCAAACACCCGCGACACTCCAGTAGCCTAGCAAGTGCGCACGACCCATCTACGGCAAGCCCCGAGGGGAAAAATACATTGCATACACACATACAACGAGCGCCAGAACATCATAACCGGTATTATAGTAACAGACTGTGTTGATTATGTCATGTACTATATAACAAAGTCTGTTACAATAATAATAATAACAATAATAAAGATTTTGAGGATAGTTACTCTGTATTGAGACAGTATTGAGAAATAGGCTAGTAATATTTTTAGTTTTCAACAATAGCCTCCTGAGACCCAGAAAGTTTTTTTTTTTAATTTAGTTTTTTTTCATGTCATTACATTGTTTAGAGCATAATAAACAAATGGTAAAAAAAAAAAAAACTTTTTGAAAAATTATATTTTATTCATATGTAATACTTTGTCCTCTGTAGTGGACACCAGGACTCAGTTGTTAAAATTAAATGACATACAATGTGTAGGCAAAAACAATGGGATTTTTTTTCCAATCACCAATACATTTTGGGGTTTCAGGATTTTTTTTAACTAAAATTTGTATAAAGATGATTATCAACTATGTTATGAAAGATATAATGGAATTAATTGATACACCAATTTACTTTATGCAATATATGGGTAAAATTGGCATAAATTAATATTCCCATTCAATGCAAAGTATCTATACACTGTATCTAATTTGCACATTAATGTGTTCTTGGAGCAACATTTAATGAGGAAAGAAGTGTAAGCATTGGCGTAATAATAAGCAACATTTTAATAATAATATCTAATATGTCATAAGAATATTGACGTATAATTTATTTACATATTCACTTGTTATGTCTCCCAGAATGCCTGATAAACATGATTTATGTCCTGATGTTCTCTACAGTGGACATGAATGAAATCAATGCCCTGTAACGGAAAGTCATTTTTTTCATTTGAAACCCCATAACATTTTCATGAGATGTTGGTTGATGAAATACAATTTGAAAAGTAGTTAGATTTAAATTATAATTACAATATATTACCATATTTCAATAAGAGTGCTACATTTGATCACTAAATTAATGTTAGACATTTTTAAAGACCAAGGAGAAGTTGTTTTCATGGTGAAACCTCCAAACATTTGGTATCTCTGTATTGCCCTGAATGTGCTCTTTACAGGACATCCAGAAAAAAAAAATGTGACATGCATGGTGTCAGAGAAATACACTAAAATATAATGTCCACTACAGTGGACAAAAGTCTGTTCCTGGGTCCCAGGAGGATAGGCCAAAGTATCATTGCTCTTACGTTTCTAATTTCTCAGTTTTGTCATAATTTTAGCAAATAATTTATTGTATATGTTTTGAGACAGTTTTAAGACTGTTTTCAAACTTTTTTATTTAAGTAGGCATCTATTTTTTTATTAATACATAACCTCAGTGTATTCATTTATAATGTATCATTTTTGCGTGACATTTATGTCAATAATCGTCAAACACAGGTGACTCCGCGTCGTGGGAGGGGCCCCCAAATCAAATTCTGCTTAGGGCCCCCAAAAGGCTCAGGCCGGCGCTGTGCCTTGTTGAACTATCCTTGAAGGTTCCTCATGGAGGAGGATCCTCATGGAGGAGGATCGAGCTCTGCTCTAATCTGTAGAGAGGCGGTATCTGATGCGTGATGTCACGGCCACGTCATCATCAGCTGCTATAATCAGCCTACGCTTGTGGTGATTCCCAGTATACAAGGGTTTATCTTTGAACGTCTCTCATCCACGTATCTGTGAGCATATTTACATCTTTGCACATCACAAACGGCGTTAGCACTAGTCCAATCGGTATCATGTCTGTCGCGGGACTGAAGAAACAATTCCACAAAGCCACTCAGGTAAGAAGCAACGGCAATGAAATTCATCATTCTCTTGACCATTGCATTCGTGAAAATGGGTTTGCTGCAGTGCTACAGCAGACAGAACAGCTTGCGTCCTGAATCGTAATGCGGATCTTTACGCGGAACAGTGTGTGCTTCTTTGAAAGCAACGTAATATGATGTATACACAAATAAATGCACTAACGTTGTTACCAGCAGGCTAGTTACTGGCGTCTACAATAAATTAATTCAGATGAATGTAACTTATGTGCAAAGTCTTTTCGTGCTGTTTTTGTCAGGTGTTATTTGCACCGATTAAATGACACCGTGTGAACATAAATATTTAAGATGCGTAGATGAGTTGTTGCATAATAGCTTATATCCTTAAATTGACCTCGATGCCCTCTAAAGCAGTCCTGATGCTGTGACACTTAAAACCATGATGATCTAAAGCCACCACATAGCCTTAGCGTCCAATACTGAATGGCATTTTAATAAAGATTTTTTTTAAATATTTACTATTTCCATTTTAATATCTTAAAATAATTGATATGTTGTACATTTATATTTTATATGTTAAGTCTTTTGAACCTATTGCCTATTAAATACACACACACACACACACACACACACACATGCATACACATATTTTGTATGTGTGTGTGTGTGTTAGATGGTTAACAATGTTCTGGTGCCATCAGACTAGGTTGAGCCTGATTCACTCCTGGGTTAGTCTGTTTTGTCCATCTTAGTGTCCTTGCCTGAGGCTTTCCCTTGCATTAATCAAAATCTCATTGAATGCTAACCGTTTGTGCAACAAAGGTTTTGGAGGAAGTATCTGTCATTTTAAGGATAGTTGTGGAACTGCAGCATCTATTGGAACCACTGCTCTCACATAAAGGCATCACTCCAGCATCTCTTAACATAGTGCTTCTCAAACCCGGTCCTGATAATATAAATCAGGTTTGTTTGATTTCAAATAAAAAGTAACATAAAATAAAAAAAGAGAGCGAGAGAGAGATCTATATTCAAAATATGCACTGTTGGGGAGTGGGGGCCCAGGCACGAGGTTTAACTAATATGACAGCTGGCTCGCTGCACATTTTTTAGGCCCCAATCTTTTTTAAAGGGAATATATGACATTCTGTGAGTTGTGAAGCTGGACTTGCATCTCACTGCCTGATATTAAACAACATAATCTGCCTTGCTCTGACCAATCGTCAGGCTCTGACATCATCAGTGCATGCTGCGCAGAGGGTGGCATGACTCAGAGCTGCTCTGTAGAACAGATGGTTCCTCAAAAACACTGCTCCTCTCACAGCTTGCTGTGTACTTTATACACAATCTTCATGCAGTCGTGACAAAGTAGTGCCTGTTTGGTGAAATGTTTTTTTTTTTTTTCTTCTTCCCTTATTTATCTCCTTTCACGTATGTAGAGACAGGTTTATCCTGTTTCACCTGCATTATTTATTCTTGGAAATTTGCTTGTATAGTGAATATATAAGCACAACACTTGTTTCACTACATGCCTTCTGGCTTTTCCTTGTCCAGAATGATATTTACATAAGAGAAGTGAGATTTCATGTAAATTGTCTAAACATGGATGTTTGTAATTATACAGAAGTTTTGTTTTGGAAATCTAAATCTATTTTATAAAGTTGAGTTTTGTTTAACCTGACAATTCTAGCTTGTAATACAATAAGCCTGCTTATATAGTTAAATTGCCATTCATCAATATGCTTTTCATTTTATTTTCATTACTTGTTGTGTAATGCAAAAGACTGAAGCCAAAGATCAAGAAGATGATCACTGCTGGGCATTTGGGGATGGATGAATGTCACAATCAGCCATTCTAAAGAAAGTGTGACCCCTTCATAAAGTAAAGGTTTCTTTAGCTTCTTTCTCTTGCTTTCTTTGATGTAAGGAGTTGCTTATGTACCACAGCGTCTGTCTCAAACATGGCTGATGTTTTATTTATTTTATTTCTATTACAAATTCTAGACATTGCTTACTGCAGTGTTTTTCCTATTTAAATTGCCAGCTATAGCACACACTTCGCAAGCCAGTGTTTTTTTTAACATTTTTGTTAACTAGTGTATCTTTATTAACAAGTAGTGCAAACAAGGATATTTTAACACCTAAAGGATGAGAAGTATCTTCTTTTCTTTGTCTCTTTAGTCTCTTATGTTTCATTCTTTTGATGTATGGTATCTTAGTAAATTGTATCTCTTGTATTTGGACAGGTGTAAAATTATGTGCAGCATCATTGATTCGCTATAATATATCTACCAGTTTCAATTACTTCAAAATTATTATCAAACAGGTGAGCTGACTGTCTACCAATACAGGATTTCTAAGCATCCCATGTGACGTGACATAAATGCTGTCTCAAATTGTAAATCGTGGATTATACTAAAATATCCTTCCTTATATCCTAAAATAGAATGTCTTTATAGTGTTATACAGGTGATCTTGTAGTTAGGACTAAATGAGTACATTTGTCATTGGGGGGGAAAAGCATTACATTTAAAAAAAAAAATGTTATAGAGAATTAGTCATTTGTTAATTTGAAAGTCCTTCTAGCCACTTACAGTGTCAGTTCCTTTTGATGGTGAAGGTGATAGGGTTTTTTAATAATAGTATATAATTTTATAAGCCAATTTAGGGTTATGTGAATTTTATAAACATTACCTGAAAACGTCTTCACACATAAACGTTTTAAAACAATAAAATTGCAAAAAGCAACAACATGGTCAAAAACATTTATCTAGTCTAGTGCATGTTCACATAGGAAAACAACAACAACAACAAAGTTTTTTTTTGTGTTTGACACAAAACATTTTTGGTTTGAATGGCTGCCTATTTATGCGTCACAGAGCAACAGCTGAATTTTCTCAATGTTTCCTCTCAAAAAATAGTCATTCGTTTCATTTGTTTGTAGGTAAATATCTACTTAATTTAGCGCTGTTTGTCTTCCAGATCTTCAGTAATCTTGATCTTGATACTGTCATTTTCGAGTGCCTATCTGTGAAATGGCTTCAGATGATTCAGGGAGTGAGCAGTCTGAACAAATGCAAACCATTTGGCAAATTCAGTTAAACAAACTAAAAAAAAAAAAAGATTAATTCACAAATGATTGCCAACGCAGGTTCAGTCTACAGAAATATAGGGCACACATAATAACTGCGTACTACTGTAAAACGTTTCTTAGGTCAGTTGCTCATGGATGTGGGCAACACTACTAACCTCTGATTTGGAACTCTTGGGAACACGTCCAATGTGTTCTTACATTAGAATAGGCTGCCATATTTTTTTATTTTTTATAGGTTTTCATTTGTTTATAGGGCTGGTGGAAAAAGTGCAAATGGCGACATCATATTCAGGTTGTGTGACCACAAAACCATGTAAGCTAAAAGGAAGATAAAACCACATTGTTCACTTGAAATGAGGACAAACAAAACATTGTTTGTGCTGACCACCATATTCATTGTGCTGTGTATTTGTGCAAAGAGCATGACACCATCAAAATGCTAGAGATATTTAGAAACCATTTACGAAAAGTCATGTCGTGTATACTTCTGAATATTGTTGGGCTTATTACAGTATTTGATTTTAAGGATGCTTCGTAAAAATATGCGAAAGCAAAAATACCTTTTTTACACTAAATCATTAGATTTTTTATTTAAGAGGTAATCAAAAAGATCCTATGCCAGATAGTCAGACCAGGGCCCGTATCCCTAAAGATTCTGAGAATCCTCTCAGAGAGCTCCTAACTTAACCTAAAAATTCCTTGCCAGGAGTTTTAGCTTAGAAGCGATTCCAGAACATTTTCAGTGAACTCTGAGCAAGGAATGGATGGAAAATCTTATCTTAGTGAGGAGGTGTGGTTGACCCCGTTGCTAGGTATGAGTCATCATTTCAAAAGCCATGAATAGTTGATCCTACAAGTTTGATGAAAATTAACTTTTGGTGATAATGAGCAAAGGATGTACCCTCAAATCAATAAACATAATTATACACTCTAATCTTATGCAGACTGTAATTGTAAAAAATATTTCACATTCAAGAAAATATCTGGAAAATGAATAGTAAGCTGTAGGGGTTATAGCTTAACATTAGAATCTATGTGAAAACTTAAGCTCATTACACCCTGTTCAAATAATGATTCGTGTCTTATTTGCTCATATTAATATCCTAGCTGGCATATTTTGTACTTTCACTCCCATATCGTGAGCTTAGAATTATAAGGTTCTATGTCTGTTTAGGGTAGTTCTGAGATATTGAGCATCAAAGTTTTTACATCCCAGCTGGCAAAACTGTTATGTAGTAATATTATACTGTAGACATTATACTGTTTTTTTTTTTTTTTTTTTTTTTTTTTACAAAAATAACACCACACAGGCCTTAATAAACACCTAATGGATCAGATTATGTCAAACTCAATTTCGACCAAAAGTGGAGCTTGAACCTTATAATTCTATAATAAAGCTCACGATATGGACCCCATTGAAAACAAGATGGCCTATCTCAAGGGGCTGTCCTTAATGAAGTAGAAATTGCAACGTTACAACTCGGTGTGATCTTAAAGAGGGTAACACGGCTCAGCTTTTATCAATGTCTGGCTGGTCTATTTATGAAAGCTTGTTAACAAATATCCTACAAACACAGAAAATGGAGAAAAAAGGATAAAAGAAATTTTGTGCAGCTGCTTAGGGGAACTCCTAAGCCACTAAAAGTCCTCTTCCCTGCTCTTAGCAGATCTCGCCTTAGGAGCCCTTTTAAGCGCTAGGAATCTTGAGGAATAGCTTTTATATTAACTGGGATTTTCGTGTCCCTTTTAGGGGAAATTCTAAGAAAACGAGTCATGACTCTGAGAATTTTCTTAGAATTTGTCCGCTAGGAGCCACTTTTTGCAAAAAAATTCTTTAGGGATACGGGCCCTGGATTGTAAAATGCAATATTTGTTATTTAGAATTAATAGATTCATAGTGCACTGTGTGTACTTTTTTTAGACCATT